CTACCAGACGGCGCCTCCATCTTTTCTGCTGAAGCATGCGCCATTGGTTTGGCCCTCGACCATATCGATGAACACCGCATTAAAAAGGCAATTATTTGTTCAGACTCTCTATCTGTCCTACAGAGTTTACAGTTACGAGATCCTAAAAACACAATCGTACAAAACCTTGCTCTTCGAATATCTCGTATATTAAAAAAGTCTAAAATAACTTTACTATGGATTCCGAGCCATGTCGGAATAAAAGGCAACGAATTTGCTGACAGGGAAGCAAAAAATGCATTGAATCTCGAACAAACAAATATCAAACTACCATACACAGATTTTAAACCTACTATTCGTACAGCCATTCAAAATGAATGGCAGAAACGCTGGTCTCTGGAGACCAACAACAAACTTTTTAAGATACAACCGAAACTTAAAACATCTATTCCCAGTCGGAAAGATCGTAGAGAGGAAGTTGTCCTCGCTCGGCTCCGCACTGGGCACACATATCCTACTCATTCGTACCTTTTAAAACGAGAAGATATACCTTCATGCCACGCATGTGACACTCCATTTACAGTGGAGCATTTTTTAATAGAATGTTCCGATTTTAAACACATTCGTGATAACTACTTCCGAGTCCCGGATATGAAAACACTTTTCAGTTCCGTGGATTCGAAGGCATTATTTAACTATTTGAAAGACATCGGTCTATTTTATAGACTCTGATGTCTTTTAACCCACCTTATCATTTTTGACGTTATACATATATCGCATATTCCATATCATCTATTCGTTATCTCTTATTATTTTAACCCCCTTTTTATTTTTTTATTATCTACACATACAATGCGAATGCTTTTAAAATGACCCATTTTATCTGATTTTATCTTCGCTATTCAAAACTTCATGGCCCTAAATGACCACAGCCGTCGATGGGCCGTTAAACATAAAAAAAAAAAAAAAAAAAAAAAAAAAAAAAAAAAAAAACCATATAGTTTTGGGGTGGGGATCTTTACCATTTTGAAGTTATGACTCAGGGGTTAAGTCTCCCAAGGCTGGGGCAGACCCCCAGGCCATCCTGGAAGCATATATGCATTCATTTCGTTATACTCAGCAATTGTATATATGGTTTTTGGATGGGGATCTCAACTGTTTCCAAGCTGAGACTAAGAAACTAGGTCCCTAGGGGTTCGGTCAGACCCCAGGGTCTATTCTAATATCATGACAGCATTCGTCTCTTTATGCCCAGCATTTGTATATATAGTTTTGAGGAGAGGATCTCAACCGTTTCAAAGTTATAACCAAGGGACTATGTCTCCAAGGGTGGGGCCAGACCCTAGAGCCATCCTGGAAGCATATGTGCATTCATTTCGTTACACTCAGCAATTGTATATATGGTTTTTGGGTGGGGATCTCAACTGTTTCCAAGCTGTGACTAAGAAACTAGGTCCCTAGGGGTTCGGTCAGAGCCCAGGGTCTATTCTAATATCATGACAGCGTTCGTCTCTTTATGCCCAGCATTTGTATATATAGTTTTTAGGAGGTGATCTCAACCGTTTCAAAGTTATGACCAAGGGACTATGTCTCCAAGGGTGGGGCCAGACCCTAGGGCCATCCTGGAAGCAACTGTGCATTCTTCTCTTTACACTCAGCAATTGTGTATATGGTTATACAGTGGGGATCTCAACCATTTCCAAGTAATAAACTTATTTTGGCCCCACCCCTTAGCCCGGGGGATCAGCAACAACATTTGTACAATTTTGAATCCCTACCTCCCATGAATGCTTCCAAACAAATATGGTCGATATCCATGACACATTTCTACAGAAGAAGTCGTTTATAGCAATATAGCCAAATTTCCCTCTATTGGCCCCGCCCCTCAGCCCCACCATTTGTACAATTTTGAATCCCCACCACCTAGGGATACTTCCAGTCAAACATGGTTGATATCCATCTCTTAGTTCCAGAGAAGTCGCTTACCGGTAAAGCAATATAGCCAAATTGCCCCCTTTTGGCCCCGCCCCTCAGTCCCCTGGGGAGTCAGCACCACCATTTGTACAATTTTGAATCCCAACCATTTAGGGATACTTCCAGTCAAAAATGGTTGATATCCATCTCTTAGTTCCAGAGAAGAAGTCGCTTAAAGCAAAATAGTCAAATTGCCCTCTTTTGGCCCTGCCCCTCAGCCCCCTGGGGGCTCAGCCCCACCATTTGTACAATTTTGAATCCCCACCACCTAGGGATACTTCCAGTCAAATATGGTTGATATCCATCTCTTAGCTCCAGAGAAAAAGTCGCTTAAAGCAATATATAGCCAAATTGCCCCCTTCTGGCCCTGCCCCTCAGTCCCCTGGGGGGGGTCAGCCCCACCATTTGTACAATTTTGAATCACCACCACCTAGGGATGCTTCCAGTCAAATATGTTTGATATCCATCTCTTAGTTCTAGAGAAGTCGCTTAAAGCAATATAGCCAAATTGCCCCCTTTTGGCACCTAGGGATGATTCCAGTCAAAGTACATTCCACCTAATATCACGTCTGTTAATGTCACTTTTCGGTTATTATCATGTTTTTTGATGCACCGTTTTTCCTGCTATATAATCTATGTAATTCAATTCTTTTATTATCACCTGATTTTATGTTGATTTCTCTTAATATCACTTTATTTTGGCCACTGTCATAAAAAAAATACAGGTAAATGGTGGTAATGATTCATAATAAATGCCCTGGGGACCTTCTGTCACACCCTGGATGCATTATGTAACCAATGCCTCGGCCTAGCAGGGTATTTTTTACACCTGGCTGACTGTTAAACAATAGGTTACACCTGGCTGACTGTTAAACAATAGGTTGACTTACATACTTGTTAACATGATATTCACCTGTGGTTGGGGGAGCTAGGACAGTCCAACATCTGTAAACTTTTCTAATGCCAAGTGTGATGTATTCTTTCAACTAATTTTAACATGTGTACTATCTTCGATTACACACTTGCAGCAAATATCTAAGGAAATTAACCTATAAAAAGATGTTACTAGCGAAAGAACAGTATATATATCAAGATATAGGTAAATATTTACCAAGTCTCATGTTTACAATTGAATTTGATGCAGAATACCAGCCAAACACTTGTATGCCTACATCACTACTGCAGTAAACAATCATAATTACAATCGTACTGATCGTCATTTTGCTACTAACTATATGAAATGTAAATGCATACTGAAATGAAATACAAATAATATATTTATTTCTATACTTATTTACTTATATCTATATTTCAACTAGGGTAAAGAACAAGGTTAGTTACAAAATATCAATCTTCTTCGTAGAGTCACATCACTTAGGCATTTGACTAATTTCACTTCCGGTTTTGAGGGATGAAAAACATCAGAAAATATGTATTCTGTTTATGTCATGTTTCTGTTAATATCATGTTTTTTCTCTGACAAATGGGAAGTGATATTAAGAGAAATCTACTGCATAGCCAAATTGCCCCCTTTTGGCCCTGCCCCTCAGCCCCACCATTTGTACAATTTTGAATCCCATCCACCTAGAGATGCTTCCAGTCAAATATGGTTGATATCCATCTCTTAGTTCCAGAGAAGAAGTCGCTTAAAGCAATATAGTCGTTGAAGTCGTTGAAAGAAATTGTTGACGTACAAACGACGGACGCCACAGTATCGCTTAAGCTCACCTTGGTCCTTCGGACCAGGTGAGCTAATAATATTTGGCTGGCAAATTCCTGGGATAGAGCTCACCAAAGTTTGCGAATGAAAATGATCTCAACCTACTTTAGAGGTCACAGAGGTCAACAACATTTTAATGGATTTGTTCTTAAGAACTAAAAGGAATGGATTCATAAGATTTGGCTGGTAGCTTTTTGGAATAGAGCTAACCAATTTGAGAAGGAAAATGACATTGACCTACTTACAAGGTCACAGGGAAAAATATGTCAAGCAACTGATGGAGCCAACCAAGTTTGAGAGGGAAATATTTTTAGTGCAATAAAATATTTAATGAGAATATTTTGCTAGGACTGCTTAAATATTTAGGTGAGCGATACAAGCCCTCTTGGGCCTCTTGTTACCATCTAAGAATTTAACTCTAAGCAATATGGGCCCATAACTTTTTTTGCCCAGACATTTCAGGTGGGGGATCATGAAAAGAATACACCCTGCTGTTACCCAATGCATGTATCGTAGGAGGCAACTAATGAGGGAGCCCCCTGAAGAATTGGGGATTTGCTTTGGTGTCTTCTATTTGGGTACACAGAAGCAACCGCAATAAATCAGCTGCACCCATTGCAATATTTGGGATCTTTATCGTTCTCTCTACTTCTAACGACCTTTTATTTATAGGCGCTTGGCAACACCTCACTTTTGGCCAGGACATACAAGCATTTAGGGGAATGGCAACAACTGCTTCACCCGTTGTCAGAATGTGATCGGACGGAGTGCTGTGCTGGGTGCCTTCGGTATGGTATTTCAGTGAGATAGCACTTTCACAAGGAGGCAAGCACACCAAAATAGCTTTTATCCGTCAGCAGTTGAAATTCATCACAGAAATCTAGATATTTGAAACAAGCTCTTAAATACCATATCAACTGCGACATGAACGTGCCTTTGGTTTGGAAAGCCGGGATATTGCTGTCAAAAAAGGAAAGTTCATGATCTTAAATCGAAATCGTACAGCTTAGTGGTTTGTCGTCCCTGTTGGTCATGTTGTAAGTAAAGATGGAGGAAACGGCTGATGTAGATGTAGACGAGTGCGTCATGTCCTAGATTTGAAGCTTGTGAGGGTATATGCAATGGTGAAGGAAAACTGCCTGCCTACCAGCTGCCAGTACCTGTCGATTGACCCATGTAGGCCTCAACTAGCGACCAAGTAGCGGAGGGCTAGTGATCATTGGACGATTAGATGCCTTAACAACTTTGCCACTGTGGTCCCTATATTTGTCTTAATATACCTTTCCATGACTATGTACTAATCAAACGGACAAATACAAAAGTAGGGCAAACTAAAAATACAGTGTTTTATTTCAGCAAATAATGTACAAGTTGAGATTGGATGAATAATGTACACCAAACATTTAAATATGTTACTTCATGACACTTATAGTGTCCTATAAATGCCAATACTAGAAATGATTAGCATATGCTAATGAGCAATTAATTTAAAGCCCATTTCTTAAACTTTCCATTTTATTATAGAGTTCCTCGCGCTTAGTGGTGTTAACTTTTTCTGAATCTATGTAGACTTGCTTATTCATCTTGCCCTGCACCAGCTTTTCAGCAGCATTGATGGCCTGCTGTATCTGCTCCTTATACTGGCTGTCAAGTCTTTGGAGCTCAGCAACCTGCAACACAATGACAATATTAGTATCACAGACAGGTCAAACGAATATATTGCATGGTATGCTGTCTGTGCGTTGGGATTAAAAATCAATTTTGCTAACAATATCAGGTGGGTGTGGGGCATTAACAAGGCACTTTTTCAGCTAAGGAAAGCAGCTTGTTTTCCACTGAAAACACATTACTACAGCCGTTTATTTTATATACCTAACTTTGTCTATAATCCATTTTGCCACAAATTTAAGTAAAAGAAATGTGAGAAAGATGCATTTTTTGCTTTAACTTCAAATGTTACATTTTCAAAATTTAAAGTGATTGTGTTATTACACTGAAAGGTAATTAAGGGGAGATAATATTTTTCAAAACTGTAACACTCAAAGCACTTAGAAACGGGAACAATCATAAGTGATGTTCCACAGACTATAATATCACTTATGTTGGAAACAATACATAGTCTACTGACAAAATCTGTTATTCAATATGATCTGGATTCCTTTTTAAAGCATCTTCACAATTTCTCAAATAATTTGAGAGTACCTTTTCGGCTAGATCTGACCCCTCAGACTTGAGTTGGCCCTGCAACCCTTGTATCTGCTGAGTAAGCTGACGGTAGTCTCCGTCTATTTTCTTTCTACTTGCAGCAAAGTTAGGGGCTTCCTTAGTACTTTTATACTTGTTAGTAGCATCATCATAGCTCTGGTAGAGAGCACTCCTCTTGTCCTGGGCACTCTGTACATCCTCCACCAGACTGGCCACTCTCATCTTGCTCTCCTTGGCTTCATCCTACAAATATTTCCATGGACAATTTATCAATAAATACAAATATAAGCTACAGCATTTCATATTTTAATGCATGCAATTAAATGAAGCATCACTTTCATGATATGGAACAAAATATAAGATAGTGTGATTTGTATCCATTCTTGTATTTTATACAAAGAAATAACTCACCAAATAAGACATTATTAATCATAATGATTGTCAATCATCACATTTGGAGATCCTGGTCTTTTTGTGTTTCAAGTCGAGTGTTTGTATATGAATTTTTGGGCATTTTTTTTTACCAGCACATACTGCTATCTCATCTATTTACAAAAATATCTTTATTGTAATCCTTTGATCACTTTGGGGTTAAGCTTCTTAACAGCCTTACACCAATGTTATAAAAGTACTTGAGGCCTTATTAACCACAGAAAATAACGTTGAAAGGCAGGCCAGTGATAAAAGATCATTTGAAAGTGTACCAAGAAAATTGCATCCGTTTCTATCATAACCTTATGTCTTGAAATCCGTTTATATTGCATGAAAAGCTATATGTTTATACTAGTTCCATCAAATAATCATTCCCTTTTTAAGACAGATCTTTTAAAATATCACTATGGCTCTAGAAGCTAAATACAGAGTTTAATTGGTACTTTGTGTGAATGGTGTAACCAGCATACCTTTGTAATGGAGAAGTCCATTCTAACATAGATGATGACAACGAGGAACAAGAGGTAGAAAGCTCCGACAACCAGCAGAGGTTCCTGAAGCAGCATGATCCTCTTGAAGGTGTACCTCAGCTATGAAAAGTAAACAGAATTCATTTTCAAATCACAAATATATGTTAATTCACAAATATGTTATGCAATGTACTTTATATATGTATTAAACATCATTAAGTACATCACCTAACCCTTTTGCTTATAATGGATAATTGAGAAATTGATATTTTTAAATATATGCATATAATTCCTGTAATTTTCACTTGTGCATATAAAATTGTGACACTTGGAACAGTTTAGACAAATTATTACATACTTCATTGGTTCACTGTGTTACGTCAAACTGTCATATATATATATATTTGAACACTTTCATAACCGAAAATTGATAGACCAAACATTTCCCTGAAAGCTGTTAACACTGACTTTTTGTTCTGCATTGAGCACTGACCTCAAAGTCTTGGATGTGTTGCTCTACCATATTACTCTTGTATGCCACAATCACTGGCCGTCCCATGGTATCAAGGTAAGTGTAGTGAAGTTGGTTATCTCCCCTTACAACATCATATGGAGTGCTCAGCATCATGTTCCTGAATTCAGAGAGAATGGTTAATATCTTTATATCACCTAAAGGGGAAACAGAATAAATTCCAAAACTAAAGTTATTTAGTTAAGAATACAAATACCCAGTTACAATTAAGAAGAAAGCTAGTCAGTAAAATACCTACAGAATTATCTATACTTCTATCAATTAGAATGCATTAAATTTGAGTCATTTGTAATACTTTACTTTTTTTTATTACTTAATTCAATAAAAAAAACATGTATGCTGATATGTCCTGTAAAGATTCTTTTCTTTCAAGAAAATTATTTTATGAATTGTCCAATTTTCAATTTGCCAAATTGTATTAGCTTAATACACTTCAGCAGGTGAAGTCACTCGAGATATAACAGATGTTTACACCTGAAGGTTGGTGTATGATTTAATACACAAAATTTGAATAGAGATTTTATCAAGTATTGACGGTTTCTTCATTTCTCCACTTGTACAATTTAATGGATAATGTGTAACTTCACTAAATTGCTTCTTTTTCATATAATATTGGGTTACAGACCTTGCTGATATCAACAAATTGAAAACAAAATTGTGTAAATTGAAAACTGTGAGAACTTACTTTGCACCCTCTGGCAGGATGATTTTGACAGTTATCTGGTCCACTAGGAGATCATCAAACACATGGTCTACAAAGCGCATCTTCAAAGCATACTGGTCACCTGTGAACATTCAAGTCAATCTGTTGCATGGAATTCAAGGCAACCATTACACAACCCCGAACTTAATTACAATTCAGATACTGTACTGTAACTTTCCAGAATGAGATATATTCTTGTTAAGATGTTTTTAATATATAGTTTGAAACCAATTTAAAACACAATTATTCAATGCATTGTTACACTTTATAGTATATATATCACTACATAAGAAATCTTCACTAAAGCATTCTGCACCAACCCACAGGAACATGACAGATTGCTACCTACCTTCATTAAAAAGATATTGATAGCTTGGTACATTGTAACCAATGTAGTAATGTGTTTTCCATCCTCCAAACAAAGGGAAGCGGGGCCTTAATTCCAGCTCCACCATGTCATCAAGTTCCTTCAGGTTGCTGGTTGAAATGTTGCCAATCTCATCTCTGTAATACACATCTTTGGCAGCAGCAGGTAAAACAGTCTGAAATTGGTCAAACGATAAAAATAATAATTTAATACCACAGGGATCATCCTGGATGACCCCTCCATTTTTCAATTTTCTTTTAATTTTATAAAGAATGGCCACTTTTTATTTTGATATTGACTAAACATTGCTGAAATGGCCCACTGCTCTCAAATTCCAGGATAAACCTATGATTAACAATGAAAAAAAGATGTTTCCCTCATTAATGCTCCTGTACCTTGAATGATTTCACAGAAGAGACACCATCCTGACTTCTTTGGTAATCGTAGCGAGAGAAAGGTCCCTTTAGTTTAGCCCCAGAGTGGCGAACGTCAATGTGCTCCTCCACAGCAATGTTACCCCAGTGGGACACTTCAATGATGCGCTCCATGCTTGTCACAGCAAGGAAAGGTGCACTGCTCTCAAAGTGCACTTTCAGCTCCGACTACATTGGAAAAACAAAACCTTGTATTTAGAAATTCCACTTAAATACATTCGTCATCCTACATCAAAATAGTTTTAACATTTTCGTTCAAAAAAACATGAAATTCACGTTATGTAGAAAAAAAATATTGTGGGATTGCCTATAATTGCAATTATTTCTCAAAATCAGTTTAATTGGCTTTAACGTTTTCCATGCAACATATTGGAGCAAATAAAAGTAATACGTATTTCCGTGTCCTCTAAAATTTTATTCACGTTTGAATTGCTTTTTCATTAAACTGCCCTTACAAATTTTGAAAATTTCTAACAATAAAGTAATGGACAACTATGATATATTGTTCTTAATCTAAGTTTGATAAAAGTAGGGAATCAAATAGAAAACTTATATTTCTTGGTTAATTATCAAATGCCAAAATACTTTGTAACCATCGGTATTAGGTCCTCAACTCTGTTCAGATCCATTCAGTTCTTAAAGCTCACACCTTCTAGATTTTTATTGTTTGTTTTATTACTAGCATAAATATTGTAAATGAGGACAACTGACACAGTATCTTTCGGTTAAACTGATTTTAACAGTTACCTCAAGCTAGTTAGATACCATAAGCAATATTAATGAAGATTTGAGAAAGAAATTGTTTTCCACAATTTTCATCCTTAGAGCAAAAGAAATGTTTTCCCTACGGACGTTCATTGCATTTTTTAATATAAAGCACCCGAGGACAGGCATTACAAAACATGGAGGAATTAACCAATCATTTTTACGAGACAAAAACAAGGAATTAAATTTTGCTTTAATTAAAATAATTTGGATGGTCCAGGATCTCCCCCGCCAAAAAAGTACCTGTGTAAAAGGTTCACGCTTTTCATAGGGTCCATATGTGATGGTTTTTTCACTCTCGGCGACAGGCTTCGGAGACTTGCTGTAGGATTCAATGGCAGTGGATGCCACAGTCACCACAGTTGTCTGGCTCTTTGTGACATAGGGAGAATAAAAGTAGACATTTCCTTCCAATACCACCTGCTGTTTCTCGCTCTGGACAATTTCTAAGGGATAGGGACGCAGTGCATGAGCAAACACTGTATCAACGTCAACTTTGACCGTCTTTCCAACCCCAAGGTCAGTACGCAAGTTGATTCTCCAAAACTGCTTACCACTAGAATGAAATAATTAATAACACTTTTAAAATAGCTATAAAGGATTTTTTTTATCAATACAATAACATTTTCATTTAGGCACCCGTACCCATCCCATATTAAGCTTAAATTTATCGAGTCATGTTTCATGTCCATCTGTTAAGGTTTACACATGTTTTATTTGGAATCACTATTGGATCAGATAAGATCAGATCATATTGATGCTACCTGTACTTACCTGTGACCTGCAACTGATGTTTGTGCAACCACTAATTTTTCATCATCATCCGACGTCTGAAATGAAAATAATCATGATTTTTTGAAACAAACAATGATAAAGGGAAATATATTTCAACTTAAACAATGGCTGTTTTTAAATGTGAATCATAAATGATTTCTGTGAAGGCACATGAACTAATGTAAGTACTTACTGTCATTCATGAAACAATTACTTCTAGAAATTTATTGCTTTATTTGAGTTTCAAGTACTCAAGATTTCATCAGAAGTCACTATATACCCTCACTTCATTAATGGCTCTTGACAAATGAAATTGATAATTACGACAACAGCATAGACGAGCTCAAAATTAAGCAACAAAAGATAGACCAATATATGTACATGCCAACTCCCAAGATCTGCCTGGGAAAGAAAAGGGTGTTGCATCACGCAGCTGATGGCAGACATGACCAACTATCCATTAATTCATTTTGTAAGATATCTATCTTCAACAAACATGTATGGCTTTGCATGCTACTCAATTTAAATATGTATGCATTAACATTACACCGATTCAAACAGCCAAAACACTGCATTAAAAGCTAGTGTACAGATATTCTCACATTTTTGAAATTTCTGAAAGTAGAGAAACCAAATGGTTCTTATCATCCAAGTTGGTATATAAACGCTTGCTTTGATTCATTGTGGCTGGTGTCTGCAATATATTCTCCCGCTAGAAAACTTGGTCTTTGCGAAATATGCCGGTCCAAAAGACACGTCCAGTGAAAATGACTTTCAATTCCTGACCAAATGTCAGGCATACGTTTTCTACCTTAGAGTCGTCTCGACTTTTCAGTCATGTCACTCGAGCATTTTAAATGCCTCTGTAATATTCAGTGCAGTCAAGTGCTGCGATAATTATATAACCTGCAATAACATTAACGGAGTCGAGAATTTTGTAAAATATGTTTTTTTTCATCCCAGATATCTTCTTGAAGCGCCGAACCATTCATTGATGAAAAACATCAAGCAAGGTTATCCAAGAGACACTGTTGTTTTTAACTTTGTACTGGTAGATCTATGCACAATCTAATGTTGGTGCCAGTAATTGTATCAAATTGCGTGATGACAAATCCCTCTGATGGAGGTTCCAGAGGTCAACACTACAGGTACAGTATACTACTGACAGTAAGTGCAGTACAGCAAGTGGTGTCAGGTCGTTTCACGTTTTTACTGACGTGAAATTTAATTTCAATATAGGAAAAATTAAATGCTTAAAACATTGTTAGAATCAAAGTTCACTCATTCGTGTCTTAATGTCAATAATGGAGAATATACTACAGTGAATTGAAAACATATTAAATGTATTACAATATCAAACAAGGAATCAACCCATCAATAACGAAAGAAATTGAATGTTGAATTTCATAAGTTCCTCTAGATCTGTATTTAATAATGAGATTAGTTTCACCAGGTAACAACACACTGTCAATCGGGTAAATGTTTGCAGGTACCCCACTAGCAATCTGTTAACAATAATGATCCTAGTTAAGCCGTGACGTAGGTCCTAGTCTAAAACCATACTTGTGTATTTACAGGACTTTTTATGAATTGGGAGCGAAATGTTATTTATAAATGGAAATTGCATATGTCCCGAAACGACTTGTGTCATGTCTCGAAACGATTAGAATTCCTGTAAGTAGACATAAATTTAGCAGAATAGCTGCAATCAATTTTGTATAATTTATCTTAATTTTCTACAAACAATGGTATATTGTCAAATAAAGCAATAGGACCCGAAAGTTAAAACGAGGAAAATGAAAGCGTCGTACTGTCAGACCGGACCCCTGTCAGACGTGTCGGTCTATGATTGGTTGAATACGTCGTCAAAAGCAGACGATATTATTAGTAAGTTATTGGCATTATATTGCATTCCCATCAAGACATACCATAGCTCCAAAAAACGATAAATGGTCCTTCATGGAGTCGTCAATGACGTATAAAAATGATTTTACAGCTGAATTTCCATTATTTTCCACTGTGAGTGACGCCGACACTTTGACAAGATGAGTTGCTGCATCTATCTTTCGATCGACTTTACTCACGACCAAACCCGAGTCAATAGAATCTTGTCCAGCTTTGCACCAAACAGATGCAAACGCAGAGACAACAAACAAACACAAAACGATCTTATTCATTTTGGAATAAGCTCGATGATACTGGATTTTTCTCAAAACAGATGAGCCGGCTCCTTCTTGTTCGCCGGTAAACCGGATGTCGTTGGCAAACGTGAAACATCAAATACGTACACAGCTATTTGTTCCGACTTTTGTTTTGAATAAGATACGATAATTCTACTCATTGTCAGATTATATATTCAAAATAACTATCTAATGTGCTCATTGTATACAATTATGATCAGTAATGAAGTTTTCTGATTATAATACATATATTTATTAAAACAATTCTAAAGAACTATTTATTGGGTCAAAAGTTTAGCCTATCACAAAGCTGGCAATTTATTTCCGATGTTTTGATTTTTTCTTTTTTATTGATAGGCATTTTTATATTAAAAGCATTAATGCTTACGAATTAAATAATTATATTATTGGTGAAACATGATATTTTAAAGTCAAATAGAGCATATTTTGTCAAATTAAATGTTAATCAATTTTCCCGCCAAATGTCCATTTTCAAAATGGCGGGAGTAGGAGATCACAACCGGTCATTGAAAGAGGCTCTTGTTGAGAGTCTCAACTCTATACTATCCCCATTACAAAATGTCAGAGCTTCAGGTGAAGAACAAATCAAAGCCCTCGAGGTTACAGAAGGTAAAAACTTACTGTACGTCTTTCAACTGGTCATATATTGTTGCACGTGGTTGCAAACTGTCGGGATAAAATGGAGGAACAAGACTTGCCAATCGTTATATGAACATGCAACAACAGATAGTCAGTGATTAAAGTCACAAATAATGTTTTAGTTGGTATTGGTTCGTTATGAAGAACGCAATACCTCATTTAAGGTGAAATATTCTGACATTCTAATTTTATTCATACAAGAAACATGCCCCACCCCCCTCATTTGACATTTCCATCATCCAGATGCACTCACCAAGTTGAAACCTTGGTACGGATGATTCGTAGACACTTAAAAACCACTTTACCCACAGGTGGATGGTCCCAGTCTGGCCGTTGCATATTTCTCTTTCTCCTGTTACAATCAGATGGTCTATTGTGGGGCCTGAGCAGATCAGGGTCTTTTCGCCTTAAATCCTGTCCGCACTACGCCATTTTCATGTTTCACCACAGAATTGGATCCAAGTCCGTGGTTTCATGAGCAAATATTTGTCGAAAGGATTCATGCTACATTCAATTTGCAGATCTGGTGGACCAAGTGCATATCTTAACGAGTTTTATAACAAAAAAAGGCTTAGTCCAAGTTTCCTCTGGCCCTGACACAAGACGGACATTTTGACAGATAGAATTTACTTGTCTGGTGTGGGGCCAGAGCGCACTAATTTATGAAACCGTGGAAACAGTGTCAGAAAGTTTTAAGGTGCTGATAAATAAAATCTTCTATGACGCAACACATGTATACCTCACATATATTGACAAATGGATTATTTATTGATCCAAATCCACGCTAATTATCACCAAGAGCAGCTTAATTCTTTCAGTAGAGTCCTTTGATTTTAATCGTTCAAACTTCCCCACCTGAGCGAACGCCATTTTTGTAGGTCATGGAAGTGACAAATCAACAAAAAGAGGCGGTCAGGGAATCTGAACAAGAACAATATATTTTGTTTTCGGTTTGGAGCAGAACAGCCTGTTGATGATTATTCACTCCCATGACCTACAAAAATGGTGTGAGGTATGTGTTGTGTCAACCAAACGGTGTCGGAGTATTCCACATTTTCATATAGTAGTGCGCTCTGGCCACATACCAGACATCTATCTGTCAAAATGTCTTAAGTCTGGTGTCAGGACCAGAGGAAACTCGGGTTAAAAAAAGCTAAGGGAGAAAAATTCAAATTAGACTATAACAGCCATACACAAGTAAACAGGACTTAAAGATTTTGCCCTCAAAACATTTTTAGGGCAAAACATAAGTGTGAAACGACCCGGGGCAAACAGGATTTAGGGTGAAACAACCTGACACCAGACAGAGGGTACTACTGTATGAGAACGTGGAATTCCTGAAGTTTTGAGGTGCTGACAAAATTACCTGGGAGTAAATAATCAACAAAAAGACGGGTCTGAAATTCTTCTTTATTGAAAAATGTATTCAGTTTTGTTCATTGATAGCAGATTTTTGTTGTCGGTACCTCAAAACTAGGTGTCAGAAAAACGTTTTCAAGGTTCGAAAAACTTTGACTGAAATTCGAGTTCAATTTTATAATAAATTAATATTACTCTTTGACATCCATTCAAATTAGAGAACTTGTCTAGATTTCAGAGCTTGTTTGATTCCCAGTCTTTACATTGTGTAATTCCCATTCTTGTTACACAAATGACAATCAATATTTAAGAAGATTGATGTATTCTACCTTGAGTTTTAGAGATAGTGATACTTTAGTAACGTACGGGATAAAGAAATTAAATGCAATGGCCAGACCAGCATTCGAACCAAAGACCCTCCAAACTCTAGACAGAGGCTCTACCAATTGAGCTACCTTGTTGTCACGAGTCCAGTTCCGCTACATTCCTCCCTCCTTTTTCTAAGTCTTCGCCTACAAAGGCACAACTATTTACAACCCAGTTCGGGTATTCCCTGGCCAAACTTTCACCCAGTGCTTGAAACAAGGGTTTGCAAGCTTGCCAATTTTGTAACAGGAAAAGAGAATTGCAACAGTCGGACTGGAATTCGAAGCTGATATCATCCGAACTCTAGACAGATGCTCTACTAACTGTCGAGTTACCTGGTGCTGACAATAGACCCAGTTCAGTTCCACTACACTTTTATACTGTCTCGAAAAATAGGAATTGAAATAACACTTGAATAGAGTCAATGATCACACAGATAGTAATAGCAGGCACTACAATAAGTTTTTCTTTCATTCATTTTTAACAAAGCAAACACTTACCCATAGCTGTCGAAATATTATTACAGAGTTTGGTGTCCATCTCGCTCAGCTGACAGTTGATCCCCAGGGTCCCTTAGCCATTAGGCAGCTGGCATCGGTGTTACTGAAGCAGTATGTGGAAGCCCATTGGTCCCAGCACTCTGAGAAGTTCCGTACACCAGAAACACCAGAAAATGTAATTGGATTGGTTTATCAGTCGTAAGACACCTTATTTACAGGTTGGGTACTATAATAGCACTTTTTGCCCAGTTGCTAAATCCCTTGTTCCAAAAATAGTAAAAAGAACCAAAATGATATTTCCATTATGAAATAAGGTAACACTACTGCGACAGTTTAAAAGTTACATTTCTGCATAACATTTATTTAAACATTCTAACCACAAACTTGAGCTACTGCAGACACTGAGAGGGCCTTTTACTATGGCTGACATCAAAACTCAATAACTTTTATAGAAACCATTAAATTTATTTCTGGAGAAGAAAATGCTGTGGGAAAGTGGGAAAATGCTGTGCCCAGCTCTGTATCATTTTGTCAGAAAGCATAAGATATTGTGATTATGTGATATATATCTTTATCGTTCAGTTATTATTAGTGTCGCCTTAGGCCAAATAAAAAAAATGTTGTGTTTCAGCTAACTATACATACCCTAAACTTTCATTTCTACCCAAAAATTGCATTGGCATTTAGTGATATACACTGTTTAAGTCAAAACTCCTGCTCTATTTGCCAACCTAGCTACCCTATTTTTTTTGAGGATGATAGCAGAAACACAAGTAATTTTTGTTTGGCCTTAGTCATGTCTTTGTGGATAAAGTTATCTTACACTGAAATTAAAAAACTACTTATGTCTATAGGCTGGGATCGATAACGGAAAAATTCAATGCATATAACAAGGTCGGGGGGGGGGGGGGGGAAATGGTATTTTTCCAAAATTCTTTCTCCAAAATAATAATTAAAAAGAACTTACAAAAAAGAAACAATGCTGTCAGATGACAATGCAACATCTAAGTATTATAAATAAAGAGTGTTTTTCGGTGTTTTAGTACTTCAAATAATAGTTTGGGGGGAAAAAGTTTTCCGTATTATCAAAATTCCCATGTTTCATTACCATGACACAATTTTCCAAACTCTAAGCCACATGCCCCTTTTCCAAAGTAAAGAAAAAAGTCCTGATAAGGTATTGTGTGTGAAGTAATGCAGATAGGTAGATATTTCAGTATATTGATATTGTGATATATTGTAACACTCCTTACAATTAATGTCATAATCATCATATTGTAGAAACCTATTGCATTTTCTTAAAGGCTAAGCACCAGATTCGTCAGATGCTACCACTTGGGTTGAAGGAGTCAATCAGCAAGGTTCGCACCAGCGTAGCCTACGCTATATCTGCAATCGCTCATTGGGATTGGCCGGAGGCATGGCCCCAGCTCTTCCAGATCCTGATGGAAGCACTGACCAGTGGTGACCTCAACACTGTCCATGGAGCCATGAGGGTGTTGACAGGTATATAATTTGATTGGACAGTGGTTCTTTTCTCTAACTCGAAATATTCATACCACTTTTAAGTGACAGAATGCATCAATACTAGACAATGTGTCTTGGTTAGAGACATGCATTTGTTCTATTTATTCATAAACATTCAGGAGTGATGAATAAAATAAGAAATGTCATCTGCATAGTTGATGAGTATTTATTGTTTTTAGATCTCGAGACTGTATAAAAACAAATTGGTTTCTTTCACTGTTGTAGAATTCACCCAAGATGTAACTGACACACAGATGGGACAGGTAGCACCAGTCATCCTTCCAGAGATGTACAAAATCTTCTTACAAGCTGAGGTAACATTCAAGAGTTCTCACCATTTGAAAAAAAGGGATGTAGTACACTGGTTTTTTAAAATATGATAAATAAAACAGATGTTTTTTTCCAGCATCAAAAACATTAATCCCTATAAGTCTTGTTTGAATGCAGCCAAATTTTGTAACACTACCCTGTAGTACTGTAGTGGTGCAAAGCTTCCATAATCAAGATGACATAGTATTCTTACCTTCTGGTTGCATTTGACTTAAGTATGAAGCTGGGAACCCCCATTGTAACAATAGCACTGCAGAATATTATTTTTTCCAGTGTGAAATGAAGCATATGATGTTATACATGTAACATTGGTTATAACTATTGACTGTCCATCATTCAAATGACATTTATGACCTACACAGATCAGACTTTGGAATCTCCTGCATTTGATGATGTTTTTGGTTTCCTTTCAGGCATTTGGAATACGAACACGGGCCCGAGCTGTAAACATTTTTAATGTGTGTGCAGCTATGATCGCTACTATGTCAGAGGTACACAAGGTAATGTTACAGCTATCTCACAATTTTAGCAAATGTACTTTTACAAAATTCCTTTCACTTTCATAGAGAAAGATAGTTCCCTATTAGCATCAGAAATTATGAAAGACATCAATTTCAACACAACAGCTCTGTGTCTTCCTAAAGTGAGAAATAATTCCTCTGTTAAATTCCTTATTTCTAAGGATGCCATAGAAGACCTGTTTGTCTCAATTATTTAAGTATTTGGTAATTCTTCCATATTTATCACATTTAACATATAGTATCTCCTCCATTTGAAGACAACTGGAGAAGCAATTAAATGAAAGACAAAATGGCAATCTTTGGGGTTCTAAAATCATAAAGTGGTTTTTTTTAATGGAAAGAAGGTTAATTGTTTGAAGGATATTCTTTATTATTTTTTGTTGTCAATTATATCAGTTACTATTGATTGTCTTAAGTCTGATCTCATTCAAAAGATCATAGATCATACTCGATCATCGGGACAACATTTTCACTAGATAAAGTGATAGTCTTTACCTCATGACAAAATGTCCTGGTAGATGACTGGGAGCTCATATTAGTTTCACATTTTTTAACCCCGTTAAGAGCATTCTTTAAAAGCAGATTTACAAAGTCAGTTTATGTATAAATATCACTTAAATGGAAATATCTATATAAGAGACTGGATATTTTCAAATTAGTTTCATATGGAATACATTATCTTAAAATTGATAGGTCTGAAAATTTATACCATGGTATCTATGCAGAAACTAGTACTAACTGGGAAATAAACTGGCGATCACTAAATTTTGATGTTTTTTTTTTCTACTTATGTAGGGCTGTGCCAAGCAGATGCTGTTTCCTATTGTACCACAATTTACAGAGGCCTTGATCCAGGCGCTACAGGTACCTGATGGTCCTACTTCAGACAGTGGACTCAAGATGGAGATTCTTAAGGTACTTTAACAATTCTGAAATAACAATGCTGGCGAACTTATTCTCATTCACAGTGAAAAGCTCTGTTTGAAGTTATTTTAGACCCGTGTTAAAAAAGTAAAAGCTGGCCTTTCTAATACCATAATAAAATGAGGTTGACTAAATTCAAGACAGGATGAATATATTTTGAACAATGCCAGGGATAAAAAATCTTGAATAGCTTTCAAGATATTGGTTCCGCTTTGTTTCACTTGACAACTTTCTTGTATGTCATGAGTATGTTTTATTACAGGTGATTACAACACTGGTGAAGAGCTTTCCTAAAGTGATGTCTCAGTGGCTGGCACAGATCCTCCCTCCAATCTGGTCTATATTTACACAGAGTGCAGATTTGTATCCTTTTGGTTGTTGATAAGAGACCTGTGCAGGTTCGGGGAAAGAATTTAGGCCTGCTGTATCCCACTGCGTGATCGTAAGAGGTGACTTATGTTGAGAATCAATAAAATACTAAAAACAAAAATTATACAATTTGATGTCGTTATATGTATGTGATCATCGACCAGTTAAGGCAAATATTTTGTCTCATATATTTAAAAAAAATAGACATTCACAACTGAAAATAAATATATGGGGATTTGAATGAATGTCTGTACACGGGGAAAGCAAGAAAATAATCCTAAAATATCACTTTGAAAATTTTGCATTGAAGACAGGTTGAGCCTAATCAAGCTCTGAACAACTGGCCTCTCTCCATCTTTAGGGGTATCCAACTTGTTGTGTGTTATTTCAGTTCTAACCTACCACTGTGTCTGTTGTTGTTCCTTAACCTTTGTGAAGCTATGTGAGGACTGTAGTAAACAATATTGACGATGCCAATGACCCAGTGGATTCTGATGGTAAGTGGGATTTTCATCTGATTAAGGTTACATTCAAGTATCCCAGTTGAAACGGTACAGATGGCGCAGAAATATTCCTCGATAAACCAACGCAATTGGACCAACTAAAAATGCACAATTTCGGAGAATAAATAACAATGTATCAAGAATACTGTGCCCTTCTTTCATGCATCCACTGAATTACATAACATATCTTAAAAACTACATGTGGTTTGACATTGTTTTAGAAAGAAATAACGCAAACTAACAATAATCAGCATTTTAGTTTCGGTCAGGTACGTCTCGATCCCTTAATCTACACATGCCAAATTTTCCTAAGGTCAGCATCGGTCCAGATCTGTGCCTGGCGTTTTCTTAACAAGTTGAACCGTTTCAACCGGATATGCAATGTAGCCTTCGTTTGTATTTCCACTTTTGAATTTATTGCCTGTATCTTCATGTACCTATGTGAAATAAGATAATTAATGCTGGGCATTCGATGTAATACTGGATTTTTCTTGACAAAAAGAAAATCCAATTGGAAGATGAATATTTAATGAGATTGCAAAAGCAGTACAAAGAGAAATAAAATGTTATCGGTAATGGTTTTTTTCTCAGACCTTGAAATATATTGCATGTTAAGAAATGAGGTAAAATAAATCCATCAGAATGAAGAAGATCTGAAACTAATTAACAAGAGAACTTATAACGCCTCATTATAGAGTTGAAATTATAACTTCAGATGATGTATTGCCCGGTAAGTATATTCATTGGTTAACAATTCATTTGACGTACTTGAAAACATTTTTTATGTTGGTTAAAAACTTTAAAGGGACTCCTCCCCAAGGTAATTGCAGGTAATTCTGGATTGATGAGTCTTGAAACACTGTTTTCCTGTTGACTCAAATACTTTTGAGTCATATAAAAAATAATTTATACCAAATCCAATATTCAAATATCTTGGGTAGTATTTTTGAGTGATGAATCATGAACAAACACATTTACTTTACATGTAAACGTCTTCTTGCCTATCAAAACCACTCTGAAAATTCAAATGTGTTCCTCTACCACTACCAAATGTTTGTTATTAAGAAAACAGCCTAGTTAGTGTCTAGACAACATTCTTATCTTTTTGCCTTTTTATCATGCATTACAACAAAGATGTGAATGTTTTGATCAAATATCACCATCAGAAAAAAGACTTTCCATTTAACTTTGCCTTATAGTCCCTTTAAACATAAATCAATGGTTCTACAGTTGTTGTTGGTTTCTTTGGTTTAATCTTCGAAATTATTTTCCATTTAATTGAATGTAATGTTAACTACAGGATATCCAGTTATGATTAATTATGATTTATATGTAAATTAGTTCTCAAGTGTTACCTACATACTATTGCTCCTATGTTATACTTGAAAATTTATCTTTGTAAATATGTTATACTTTAAGGAATTTAACTATTTGTGTGTCAAGATTAAGCATTTAACACAAGTCAGATAGTTTGATTCTCCAAATTAAGACCTTGCAACATCGTGCCATAAGATTTTATTTTACACTGTGAAATTGACAGAAAAGAAACAAATTATAACCACTGACTAGGCATCAGCTCGAGGAACCCATACAGCTTGTTAGGGAAAGTGACTTCTTCACAAATAATTATTTTACTATATCTGTATAGGTATTTCCCTTACTAAGTAAAATAAAACCCACGTATCTTGTTTTTTCTCTGAAAAAGGAAATCTTCGAAATTAATCCTTTCGTTACGAAGAATGAAGGAGTTCATCTTGCCTCCTGCTGTTTGAAATTGATAAATTTCCTCGACACATTTAGGACTTGAACTTTTTGTTTCATGAATGTTGAACAGTTCTGATCATCTTTAGATTGGAAATGTGACTCAATAAACAATTGTGGCTTTTTAAATGAATGTTATAAATAAAAACATGATATTTTTTTATCATTGGATTTTCCAAACGGAGTCATCAAATGGAGATCTTTTTGGAAAGCAGAATATTAAGTGTATATTCTGTGGAAACTTGTCAGTCAAAGTTTGAAAGGCATTAGACTTCAAGAAGGAAAAATTGTGAGGACCACCAAAATTGTATTTGATGTAAATTTTCACTCTTCTGATCATAGATGACATTTCAATAGACGTCACTCTTTTTAAAGTCAGTTGGATTTGTTGAGGGGGTGTCTCATCTGGATTTGAATGCATAGAATTTTAATGTTGATTTAATGTTTTTTGTTTTCTGTCTTTTCTGCAGGAGAAGTGCTAGGATTTGAGAATTTAGTGTACAGTGTGTTTGAGTTTGTCCATGTGCTGATTGAAGTTCCTCAATTTAGAAAAACTACTGTGAAGAAATCCGTTGATGACATCATCTACTATGTGATTTTCTATATGCAAATGACTGAAGATCAGGTAACCAGTTTTATTCTTTTATATGTGTTCAGTTACTTATATGAAAATTGGATGCTGTTTATGATTCTGTGGAAATAATAACTTTATCTAAATTTACATTTTATTTGGAGTGGGGGATAAATATCCTGTGAAATGTGTTATAAAAAATGGAATGATTATGTTAAATTACGATCTTATTTTTTTGAAAAAATCTTGAAAGAAAATCAAATTTACATAATAAACAAATTGTCTTTTTTAGTAGTGAAAACTTCAAAAATAAAAGATAAAGGTGTCCTCTCAACTTAAATGAGAATTACTTCTTCATAAGTAATGCTCCTGGTACATAAAGGCATGAGAACACCATACTCCCATAACATGAGAGGGCGCTGGTTGGCCTTTTTTCAATCGGATATGATTTTGCCGACTGCGACCTCTCATTTCCGAAGCACTAATTCTTTGATGCAGTTTCCGCCCGAAATCCGGGCGGAACAAAATCGTCTTGAAAAACTCACTTAAGTGGTTAACAGTTCATGACAACGATGTCTCCTCACGGTTTATATAATATAGATCTCATATGTATGCCACAGACACAAATATATAGTATATTACGGACTAGAACACTCAAAATACATGTCCATGTCGTTGTAGCACATCTCTGACCTACATTTAAAACATGGCTTCTGGATTAATACAAAATAGCAGGGGGGATTTCAAACGGAACGAAATGATACGGAGTTTGTTTGTATTCCGCTTGTGAAACATTACATGTAATCCATTTTTGTATTAACCGGAAAAATCATGGCAAATGCTGTCTGCTTCGTTTCGAAACTCATTATTTATGTCTTTGACACGAAATTTTTCTCATATAATCATGGATTTATGGAAAAGATTATTTTTTGGACCCTTTTGACCATTTAAATGTATGTAAACACGATATCCTCTTTCTTAATCCGAACTTTGAAAATGTGATCGTCAGCATCGGGAAAATCAGCTATGGGCAGTTAGAGGTTACGCGGCGCCTGTCAAAAGTTTTTCGCCGTGTAAAACCTCTAACATTGTTGGAGTAGAGAACACCAGTGAGAAATTACAGATTGTTTGGTTTTTGTACTCAAAAGTCAGCAAGATTTGAACGCAAGGTGTGATTTTAATTCCTGTTACTTGACATTTGAGAAATACATTAACAAATGTACAAATCTATTGCACTGGTATAGGTACAAATGTGGACAAATAACCCAGACCAGTTTGTGGAAGATGAAGATGATGATTCGTTTTCTTATTCCGTGAGAATATCTGCACAAGATTTGTTGCTGGTAAGTATATAGAGGAGAATTTGTGGTATCCTATAAATATCTTGGACAATTTAATTTCATCTAAGCACTGGATCTGCAGGTATTTTAAAAGTGTAACAACTGTTGCCTAGAAGTCTTTCCTATATTTACATTGAACATAATTTCACTGAATCATTTTAAGTGCAAAAGTGTTGAGGCTTGCACATCTTAAGGGCCCACTTGTATAAAACATCTCAAAGTTAAGGAAAATCTCCAGCAATGTATTGTCTATGGGAAATCTTAGACTTGAGGAAATCTCAAGCAATGTATTGTCTATGGGAACTCTTAGACTTGAGGAAATCTCAAGAGTTGAGATGTTTTATACAAGTGGGCCCTGGTAGCGTAGGACTGAACATTGAGGTTGTAACCTACACTTCTGTATTCTTAAAGGTCATCTGAATCTCCCACAGTTTCAGTTTTTAGCCTACAAGTTTCAGGATTGACTGTACTTGCCAGAGCATTAGACAGGTTTTGACCTGCAGTATCAAACAAGCTTCAGTAAATACAGGAGACATTACATGAATGGAACTTTGCAACTATTTAACCACTTAAATAAAGATAAACTTTGTGGTACAGTTCAGCTTAGAGTAAATCTGTTGACAGAATACTGATAATTATTTTACATTTCAGTCATTATCAAGTGAATTCCGAACGATAAGTGCCCCGGCCCTATGTAATGCTATTACAAGGCATTTACAGAATGCTGAAGTGATTAAAAACTCAGGAAATGAAAACTGGTTTGTATTATTTATATTTCTGGTGTAACATCTCAGAAAGTGGCAAATCCAGGGGGTGTTCTTGGCATCTGGCCTATTCAAATTCCTACTCTTATCATGGTCTTTTAAGAAATTAAGCAACAACAAACAAAAGTTTTAAAAACAAAATCCTCATTAGGAAACCCGCTGGAACTGGTCTCTGGATCTACAACCACTACAAATCCCCAGTCCTGTCCCGTTTTAGCCCAAATGTTGTAGAATTGATGTCATGAGACGGGGGACAAAATGTTAACTCCGTTATCAGCTAGAGTTTGTACGATTGCATGTATTATTTTCATATCGAAGAAAGCCTGCTTCATCTTCTCTGTCTCATCGTTTTCAAGAAATAGTAAAATATTAATTACCTGATTGATAATACTTTGCACTTATCTATAGGTAATTGTATTGAAAAAATGTTTAATTTTGACTTTTGTTGGTAATGACAGGTGGAAGCTGCACGAGTCTTGTATGTTGGCTATGGGCAGTGTGATGAGTCTAGTGGTGGATATGGTACAGTCGGGCAAGGTCCAGTTTGACATCACGGGTTTCCTGCAATCTGTTGTGCTGACAGATATGAACTACTCAGGTAGATGGTCAGATGGGGAAACATAATTAATACCAGAACAAGAATATCTCACGTTTTTAGAAGCATCCAAAAGGCAGATGGTCTTTATTTGCAATTTAAGTAATAGGAACTTACCTGATAACAGTTTTTAAGGGTCTTTTTTCTCTTCAGAATTTCCAGCCCTCCAGCAACTTTCTATAAATTGTATTTCATTTCAGGATTCATATGAAAAGTGAATATCAAAATTATGGTCATACCATTTTCTGTGCTTCCAATTTAATATGCGAAATAAAATAAATTTTTAAAAGTTTCGAATTGCGGAGCACTTGAAAATTTAGTTGTTGAATATTTCAAATTTAAGTACATTACAGCCCAAATAAGTTACAGGATGAATTTATTTTGGTGAATTCTGATTAATTTTGTGGTAGTGTGATAAAATTTAAAATTAAAATTTTCAAGTTAATGTGAAAAAGAATTATATCATGTTAAACATTTGCGTCAATAGTACTTTTTTACCCCCAGCTGCATCATTTTTGGTTGGGAGATGTCTATGGACAGCCAGTAGGTACACAGAAGTCATGACTCCAGAGTTGTTACAAAGGTTTGTACTGTCTTGTAAACATTGAATGACATATTACTGGTTTTTCATTTCTGAAATTTAAGATGGGAACATCATTTGCTTGTTATATGAATTAGATTTATAACTTTCAGATAAATTTTAACTTTCAATTTAGAAAAGAGTAATTTGTTGGGTTTTTTGCATGATACACATAGAATAAATCAATATTTTGATAATGGTTGGATGTCTTTATGCATTGTAAACTTATGCAGCAACTATGCTTTAAAACATTCCTAACTTTCGTTTTCATCATACAGATTCCTGCAGTCAACTATTGGTGGCCTCCATGCGACCCAGCCTGCCACAGTACGGATATCTGCAATCCGTGCCATCTTCAGCTACTGCACTCACTTCAAGAACAAGAACGATACACAGCTTTTGCTACCATTTCTACCTAATATAGTTGAGGGCCTTACAGCCATAGCAACCCAATATTCCTCCGATGTGCTCTCCCTATGCCTCGAGACGCTTTCAGTTGTATTATCGGTGAGATATGTTGATTAAAGCTTTTGCTGATGCTCATATAGTGTTGCCCATGTCTGTCCCGTCCCTGAGCGGGGGGCATTTATGTCTTACAGACATTTTCTAGTTCATTATAACATGGAATAGAGGAGAAAGGAATCAAAATTGTTGATATTACTGTGTATCCTAAAACAGTAATGATGTGATGTCAAATTTAAAATTGCCTTCCCCTTCTCCTCGTCTCATAATTATTTAAAGTTTAAAAAATATAACAAATATAGTTGAAGTGCTGTATCAAAGACTAAGGCAAGTGTGAAATTTCAGTGTAGTGGCTGTCTTATAGTTTGTTCAGACAGGCAAACATTATTCTGAAACAAGTATTAAAAAAAATTCAGCTAAGTACTTGCACGGAATGTAAAAAAAAATGTTGATACAGGCGAGTTATTTAAATTTCTCAGATTTAATCTGTGCGTGGATTTCTTTGTGATGCTCTACATAGATGTAATCAATTGTTTGATTTTTTGCACATTTAGGTAGATAAAGGATACACTGCAAGTGTGGAGAGCAAGGTGACACCTCTTACAATAGCCGTCTTCCTTAAATATTCTGGTGGTAAGTTTTGTCCAGTATGAAGTTGTAGAGGAGATATTCAGTCTTCATCAAAGAAGTCAAACTTATGTAAAGTTGTTGGGAGTGTGATAAATTCTTATTTCCAAATAAAAGATCACATACAAAATTGAATGAAAAAATAACATTTTTGTCTAGCCGCGATGAAGAAGCGAAAGCAAGACTAAGATGTTCCTTTTCCGGCAGCGTCAACATTTAGTTTTAGTGTTTAATTTAGTTTCACTGAAAGTATAAGTGCTAGACCAACCAAACTTGGACCGTAGATGCATCTTAGGTAGTACATCTCGACACATGCATCAAATGCTGGATGCGGCCTGCCTTTCATGGTCCATTGACTTTTTCAGCATTTCCATCAACATTCAGTTTTTGCGTTGAAGTTATTTTCTCTGAAACTTTTAGTGCTACACCAACCAAACTTGACATGTGCATTGATGGTCAAAGGGGAGCAAAGGTGACACATATCAATCAGAAGGGCTTTTTTCAAGTTAAATTGAATGCAAGTTCGATTGGATTACTGTGTAAAGATTGTATGATTGATAAAAATAAGCATAAAGATAGTAGTATTTTATCCTGCTTTAAGCACTCCTGCCAATTTTGTCATTTTACTTGATTTCAGATCCTGTGGTTGTCAGCATTGTGCATGACATTTTCAAAGTGCTTGCGGGAAATGAGAACTGTATAGGTCCTTTAGAACAAAGGCTACTTCCAACTCTTGTGAGCATCCTACAGTCCCCGGACAAAGTACCTGTCAGTTTGCCTGTGGTGAGTACGGGTGTCGCATCAAATGGTTAAAATATGGCACCAGTGTTGGGCTTGATTTAATATTTTAAAAAAAAATGAATATTGTTCTATAATGGCCCAGGAACTGTTCTGTTGTGGTGCTTTCTGCAAAGGAATAGTGCAAGAGCCCTTTCCAATTTGGGAATTTGCCAGAGAGGACCTGCCATCTGTTTCCCAAATTAAATCCCTGCACTGTAACATGTGTTAAAGTTGCATGTTAACACATAAAACTTGGGGGAACTATCAGTATGTCCTAAAAATGAACTTTTTGTTGACTTTCCCGTTTACCATGTATAAACAGTTACTTTCTGTTTACCATTGTATAGACATTGTAAGTGCCAAATTGAACGTTAATACATGCACGAAAAAAGACATTCAGCTGATAATGTCATATTATCAATAGAGGTTACTCAACGAGTGGTTGTTGAATATGGTCTTTATTTCACTTGAGTTAGTTAATTTTCAAAAGTTACAAAAGACACCAGCTTTAACTAACGTGAGTGAAATAAAGACCATACTCCACAACCATGAGTCGTGTGATCTGTTTCTACTACAAACTCATGATCAGTCGGAGACAAGGCTGGCGTAGTGATATGAACCATATGTAAAAAGTCACTCATTAATATTCAAAAATGGCTTCTTTTTTTTACAAATCTAATAATTGTCAAAATTAATCTTTCGGCAACGACTTCATGAAAAAATATAATAGATGAACGACTTTAAATATTGGCAGTAGCAGTATTGCATTAATTTATATAAATTAACCATATGCGCGTAAGCATATCGTATGAAGTCTTCCTCCCGCCAAGTGACGAAGACAAACTTATCGCTGTTAATGTCCAAAACCATAGGCCTACATTTCTTCGTGACGGTTCTATGGTTGATGTTTTTAGTGACAGTTCAGCCATAGTCAGACCGTCCAAATAGCAATAACGGGACGTTGGGAGAACGAAATATTTTCCGACACTGTGACAGTTTGGTTTCACGACCTGGACACACGACGGTGTGACGTCGAAACGATATTGAGCGTCTGCAGCAATTTTGCCTGAAACTAGCGATCAAATCTTTAAGTATTATCTTCTTTTAATATTGCCTTAATAACCTCCTTTTCCGCATAACCTCACAAAGTCACCAACATCTGTCGAATGTTGACAGCAGACGACGTAAACAAAGAAAAGTCGTTCCAGTCAAAGTTCATCTTCTCGACCAATCAAAACTTGTGTAGGTCATATACCACATGTGGTATATAACTCATATTTATCTAACAGACAGCGTTTTTATACAATGATCTGAGAGTGGAATAACACAGCGTATTGTGGTAGAAATCATATTATTCGCTGCATGTGTGTAATTTTGTAAAATAATTTTAACACTGAATTAATTACAGACTTTAAATACTTTCTTTAACGGACATAATGAGTAACACAATTTCATGAAATTAACCCTCATTTTGGAAAAATATTCACACCTGGATATGGCTATGATCCTATTATGCACTTTAATTGATTTTCTGTCTACCATGTAAATTCATTATAAATGCAAAAATTGAATAGTAACACACATGGAAAAGACGTTCTTAACGAAACTTTGAAATATTATATTTTTTTAAAATTTTGTGATGTCATGAATAACCTTTGGCCAGAGCTATAAGATATGTTGATGCACACCTTCACAGGAATCATTGGATGTGTTAGAGACGATGCTGAGAAGCTGCCCTGGGCCGCTGTCAGAAGCCATGATCAAGTCTGCATTTCCAGCGGCAGTCCACTGCACCCTTCACTCAGATGACAATGCCACTATGCAGGTCAGCCTTGATCCGTTATAATTATTTAATGAATCTAGAACCAAAAGCCATTGTATGTAGGGGGAACAAATTATGTGATATATTGACGCAGTGGTTATCATCAGGCTATGCTATTCCAGGCCTGACTGCAGGACCTTAAAATAAAGGGTTTCTATTTATGGTTGAGTTCCTGCCTACTCCTCATACTTATAAAAAATAGGATTAAAGTTCGTTGGTGGTATCCCTAAACAAAACCTCCAGCCCTGACGTTGGATGTATGTTTTATTGGAATAGACAACAGAATATAAACAGAAGGTTGTACTCTGTAACTTGAGACCACTGGTGCAACTCTAAAACATGACATGAGCAAATTCAGCAAAAAGAGCCTAGATTATCCCTGTTAAGTTTTCACTGTGTTTTGTTTAATTGCTTGAACAGAGTGGAGGCGAATGTTTACGTGCATTTGCATCGGTTGCCATGGACCAGGTCTTGGGTTGGCGTGACGATCAAGGACACAACGGCCTGTATTACATCATACAGGTGATATCTAAACTACTGGACCCCAAGACATCAGAACACACTGCCTCCTTCATTGGCCGCTTGGTGTCGGTGGTACTGATTGGGGTAGGAGCAGGCCTAGGAGAAAACCTTGACTTGATGTTACGGGCAGTCCTCAGTAAAATGCAACAGACAGAGACACTCAGTGTCATGATGGTAAGGTGCTATTCAGTCACTCAGTGTCATGATGGTAAGGTGCTATTCAGTGACTCAGTGTCATGATGGTAAGATGCTATTCAGTCACTCAGTGTCATGATGGTAAGGTGCTATTCAGTCACTCAATGTCATGATGGTAAGGTGCTATTCTCTAAGGTAATGTTTAGTCTTCACATTCTTCAAAACAGATGTAAACATACTTACTTTTGTGTTTTTCATGGTGTCTCGGAAATGCAAATTTAAGTACACTGTAAAATGAAAATCTTCAAAACAGGTTGGTTTTTAGCTCACCTGGCCCGAAGGGCCAATTGAGCTTATGGCATGTTGTGGCGTCCGTCCGGCGTCAACTTTTTACTTTAAACAACTTCTTCTCAGTAACCAAAAGGCCTAGGGTGATGATATTTGGCCAGAAGCATGCTTGGATGAAGGGCTTCCAAGTTTGTTCAAATAAATGACCTTCATCAATTTTCAAGGTCACAGGGGTCAAATATGTTAAAATCTTTAAGCAGCTTCTTCTGAAAAACCAAGAGGCCTAGGGTGATAATAATTGGCCAGTAACTTGCTGGGATGAAGGGCTGCCAGGATTTTTCAAATAAATGACCTTGACTTATATCCAAGGTCACAGGGGTCAAATATGTTAAAAACATTTAAACAATTTCTTCAATCTGATTAAAATCATATGTTACATGGCTTCGTTAACTTCGTACTACGCTTGAACATCTGAGTGTACCGCGGTCAGGGTCACGTTCAGGTGACCTTTATATTTATAAATACTCATTAAATTTTGACCAATCAGAGACCCTCTTTCAAAAGGGCGCTCAGAGTTGTAACAAATATGGCGGACATTGATGAGAATGATGCTAAAGTTCTTAAGTTATTTGAGATTGATCGTCTGAAACCCAAACAGAAAAAGATATTCGAAGCTTTATTAGAGAAGAAGGGACTGTATGGTGGTGTTGCCTACGCAATTATTACCCAATGGGTATGTTTTCCTTGGCGTCGTAGAAACGTCAGTTCCCGCCGCCATATTTGTTTTGGAAAACTAATCTGTTCGATACCCCTTGCTATTTATCTATCAACCATGATATTCTGATTCGCTGGCAAACTTTTGCCAGCGCGCCTCTGATTGTTTCATCTAAAGGTCACTTGAACGTGACCCTGACCGCAGCACATTCAGATGTTCAGGCGAAGCCATGTAACAGATGATTTCAATCAGATTGACAATTTCTTCTGAATAATCAAGAGGCCTAGGGTGATGATAGTTGGCCAGTAACATGCTGGGATGAAGGGCTACCAAGTTTGTTCAAATACATGACCTTGACCCACTTTCAAGGTCACAGGGGTCAAATATGTTTAAAACCTTTAAACAACTTTTTCTGAATAACCGAGAGGCCTAGGGCGATGATATTTGGGCAGTAATATGCTGGGAAAAAGGGCTACGAAGTTTGTTCAAATAAATGACCTTGACTTATATTCAAGGTCACAGAGGGAAACATGTTTTAAACATTTAAACAACTTCTGAATAACCAATAGGCCTAGGGAGATGATATTTGGCTAGTAGCATGCTGGGATGAAGGGCTATAAAGTTTGTTCAAATGAATGACATTCATCTTTTTAGCTCACCTGGTTCAAAGGACCAAGGTGAGCTTATGCCATACCGTGGCGTCCGTCGTCCGTCCGTCCGTCGTCCGTCGTCCGTCCGTCAACAATTTCTTTAAACGACTTCTTCTTCTTAACCACTGATTGGAATTTTACTAAATTTGACTGGAAGCATCCTTAGGTGGTGGGGAATCAAAATTGTACAAATGGTGGGGCTGACCCCCCAGGGGGCTGAGGGGCGGGGCAAAAAGGGGGCAATTTGGCTATATTGCTTTAAGCGACTTCTTCTCTGGAACTAAGTGATGGATATCAACCATATTAGACTGGAAGCAT